GAGCTGATATCAAGGGCTCAGGAGAAAGAAAATGCTTTGGAAATTATGATGACAACATATGTAAAAATGTGCTTAACACAGTGGATGAATGTATGGATTGTGATAGAAATGTAAGAGCTCCGAATAAAAGTATTTAATTTAAAAAAGAATGACCTCAGAAGCCCACAGAGGGATTTCTACCCTGTTCTCCAGGGTCAGTATGAGGCAGAATCAACTCCTGCCATGGAGTTTGGGTCTAGGACATACTGGCTATCTGTTATTCTCACTGTTTTTCTATTCATCTCTCTCTTTAAATGAAAAAAATACATCAAATTTATTCTATGAGCCATTGACCTTGTCCGCATCATTGCTACACATCCTCTGGCTTGGTGTACATGCTCAGTATGTATTTTCACAATGAGGAAACTGATGCTTACTGCTTTGTTCCTTGTCTTAGGCACGTAATAAATACTAAGAATCAGAATAAAGTAGAAAATTCCTGAATAGGAGTTAGTTGACATTTGCTAGAATGGAAATCACATAAAATTTTCTTGATGTCTTAGTTTCTTAAAACCATCTGGACAGTCTTCTAACTACAAAAACCCCAAACAAACAAATGACTATTTTTAAATCTTTAAAAATATTTCACAATTTTTGATGGGTGTTTTTGATAATTTTGTTTTAGGCTATCATGTTATACTTGTTGGGCAAAATATTCCAATTCTTGAAACTCTGCCAGTCTGTTACTGATTATTTATATAACCCATTATTATGAAATGTGGCCTGTAGTGTGAGCATTTGCCCTAACAAGACAATATTAATATACTGGTAAGAAAAATATGTCTTTTGAGTTCAAGATATATAAACAAAATCATAGCAATATGGGAAATTAATAGAAAAAAGATAGATTTGCTAAAATTGGGAATTTTTACAGGGGTGAAACAAAACCAGGAACTGTTCAGAAGGCATATATATATAAATATAAATATAATATATATATTAGCTGCTGTTTAATTTGTGAGTGAAATGAATATGCAAACTTAACTTACTGCTTAATTGGCCTTTACAAGGAAGATCGATAATACAGGAAAGTTAATTGTTTCAGCTTTACAGCCGAGTCTGAAAAAGAGAAACAAGAGTGGATAGAAGCTGTGCAGCAATCGATAGCAGAAACTCTCTCTGATTATGAAGTAGCCGAGAAGATTTGGTTCAATGAATCCAACCGGAGCTGTGCAGATTGTAAAGCCCCAGATCCTGACTGGGCATCCATCAACCTCTGTGTCGTCATCTGTAAGAAATGCGCAGGTAATTAGCGATTCATTATGCTCCTCACTGCTGGGTTGGCACTGCACATCACTAATGGATTAGCAAGAAATGCTCTTTATTGTCATATGTAATGTGTCCCAGAGAATGTTAGCAAAAAATAAAACTAGAGGGAAGCTATTACATTTAAATCAAACTCAGGAATATGTCACAGTTCTAAGCTTCTCTGATATATGACTTAGATTTACAAATTCATTTTAAAGCATGTAATCATATTTGTGCCTATTGATCTATGCATGGATTTTAAAGAAGACAATGTTGAATTTGTTCTTGTTATAAGCAAGTGTGCTTCAGAATGCACCTCAAAGAAGTATGCATCTTTGCATTATAGCTTATCTTTTCCCCAACAATTCTTTGTAAGATGTTTTTCACATCAATTTTATTTTGAACTCTAACCTTCGTATGCCAGAGCTAGTGTGTCTTGTAATGAGTACTTTTGATTAGAAGCATTTCGTAGGAGTATGAGAGTTGATGACGATAACCAGTGCTATTTTTGGTTTTCTGATTTTTGGCCTCGTTCTTAATAACTGACACTTGCTATCTCAGGATACCTGCGTGCTCAGACAGGTGTCCAGTCGAGTGGCGGGAAAAAGGCCCCAGCTGGACAATTTGATCACAGAGGATGTCATTGGAGGCTGTCAGTTATCTAAACTTCGATTTTTCTAAACTATCCAAACATGGATTTTCAAGGCTGCCTTCTCCCCACTTCAGTTCACATTAAAAGCAGATAGTGTACTTGTGTTGATCATTAAAACGATGAGCAAGACATAGCCTTTGCACCACAAATAAATAGCTAGTATTAGAATATGATAAATGTAAGACCAGAGGTGGGTCAGGGTTCACTGAGACACATAACTCCGAAGAGCAAAGACAATGAGTGCTTAGCGGGGCCATGCAATTGTTTCAAACCATCTTTCTGTTCTTTTAGTTCTACCATATTTGTCATCATACTCAGGAGATTTCCTGACCTCCTAATGAGTAATAGCAGCAATAATAAGTGCTCAGCTAATGATTGGTTATTTTGTACTTACCTGGTTATCTGAAAAATTTCCCCATCCTTTTTCTTCCTTTCTAGTTTCACTGGTAAAGAGAACTTTGTATTATCTAAGATGTGTTTTCACAAACGTATTTGACCTTTTCAGAAAAAAATAAACTACTTGGCTCCTCCCTAGCACTTAAAAATGTTTGTGGTAAAGCCCATAACCCAAGATAAAGTGTAAGTAACTGCTTTTGTAGCCCCTGTGGATCATTCCAGTGCTCTACCATCACCTCCACCACCACCAGGGCATGGTACTGCCTACTTTGAAAAGCACTAATGTGTTTCTTCCTTTTCTTTCTCTTTCCCTCCTTAGTCTCCTTACTATACCATCTATTCACCTTTTTTTGGGTGGTATTCAACCATTATTGTTTGGGGCTTGTTATATTAACTTGCAGTATCTTTCTTGTTAGTCCAACATCAAGAAGCTTTCTGACAACTTTGCATTCCCCTTATATGATTTTTTTAACTGTCCTTTCTTACTTTCATCAATAAATGTTTGCAAATATTTTTTAAAATATCCTAATGTTTCTTTAGCTTCCTAGAACCAGCCTTCTCTGTTCTCTAGAGCAGTAAAAATCTTTGGGCCACCTTTACTAGTGTTTTTCCCTATCAGTTTCTAGCCTGATTGATTTCTCTGTAGCATATGCCAGTCTTGACCAACCTGCCACTGTTCAGCATCCTTTTGTACCTTGAAATCCTGACTTTTACTTGGCCTATATGTGTTCCCTTGAGTTGCATCCTCAGGATGCTTTTCACTCTTGTCCTTGAGTGATATTATTTAATCACGTGAATTCAGCTCCCTTCTAAAGAACTGATTATTTTGTGTTCCCTCTCTGTTGAGTACTAATGCTACCGACTAGAATTTCTGCTTGAATTTTTCAGTGATACCTTAACAGTAACGTGCCTATGCACCCTCCTTTCTGCCCATCCCTTTACCTGTAACTGCACCTGCTCATGTAGTCTTAATTCTCAGACTTGGTCAGAAGCAATCTTCTCTATCCTTTATTTGCATTGTGAAGCCCACTGTCTTCAAGTCAGTTCCAACTCACAGGGGCCTTATATAAGGTTTACAAGGTTGTAAATCTTTCCCACTCTCACTGCCAGCAGGTTAATTCCGACTCATAGCAATCCCATCGAACAGAATTGAACTGCCCCTGTAGGCTTCAGAGGCTGTAAATCTTTATGGGTGCAAAGCCTCATCTTTCCCCTGAGGTGGGATTGGTAAGTTTGAACTGTTGCCTTTGTGGTTCATAGCCCTCCACAGAACCCATTATGCCCATTACTCCACTATGAGATCATGGAGACTCATCTTTCTCCGGTGGAGTGGTGGGTGAGTTGAACCTGCTGGCCAGCAATTGACAGCCCAGAGCTGTCCAGACAGTGCCACCTAGGGCTGTTGTTAGGTGCAGTTAAACAGACTTTAAGTTAGGGTGACCCCATGTGACACATTAGAACTGCCTCATAGGGTTTTCAAGCTGTAAAATTATTTCTTAAAATCATTTTATTGGGAGTTCTTATAGATATTATAACAATCGATAAATCAAGTATCTCAAGCAAACTTGTACATATGTCACCAGCTTCATTTTCAAAACATTATCTTTATTTGAGCCTTTGGTATCGGCTCCTCTTTTTTCCCTCCATCACTCTCCCACCCTGATGAACCCTTAATAAATTATATATATGTGTTTTCATATTTTACACCATCCACTGTATCCCTTCATCCATATTTCTGTTATTCATCCCCCTTGAGTAGGGGGAGATGTTATACATCCATCGTTGCTATCGGATTGTCCTTTCTCACTTCCCCTCTTCTGCTATTGCTACTCCCATTATTGTTTCTGAGGGGTTTATCTGCCCTGAATTCTCTGTCAAAAGCTCTTATCTGTACCAATGAACATACTCAAATCTAGCAAGATTTGTGAGGTAGAACTGAGGTCATGATAGTGGCGGGGGTGGGGGCAGAAGCATTAAAGAAGAAGTATTTTGCCAGTGCTATACTGCACCCTAGCTGAATCGTCCCTTCTGTGTGATTATTCTGTGAGGGGATGTCCAATTGTCTACACATGGGCTTTGGCTCTCTGACACCTCTTCTTCACAGCCATATACTTGTATTTGATCTTTTGATACCTCGTCCCAGTGATACCTCATGATCACACAGGCTGATGTGCTTCTTCCATGTGGGCTTTGTTGCTTCTCTGCTAGATGGCTGCTTGTTTAACTTCAAGCCTTTAAGACCCCAGATGCTCTATTATTTAATAGCCAGGCACCATCAGCTTTCTTCCCCACATTTACTTATGTTCCCCTTTTGTCTTCAGCGATAGTATTGGGAATATGAGTATCACACAGTGCCAGGTTATTAGTACTAAGTGTTTTGTGTTGAGGAAAACTTAAAGAGACCCAAAGTCCATCTGCTACCTTAATACTCTACCTTAATAGATCACCAGGTCTTTGTCCTGTAGGACCTTTGGGTGGGTTCACACAGCCAACCTTGTCTTTTAAAGCCAAACACTTGATTATTGCCTTACCAGGGTTTCTTATCTATTTGAGCCCGTGTCCTGGAAAACCTCTTGAGCGTCCTCCTTTTCTTAAAGTCTCTACCACATCTTGTCAATTTTGACTTCTCACTATCTCCAAATCTATCCTCTCCATTATTATTATTATTATTATTTAAAAATCATTTTATTGGGAGCACTTACAACTCATAACAATCCATACATCATTTTTGTCAAGCCTATTTGTACATATGTTGTCATCATTATTTTCTAAATATTTACTTTCTATTTGAGCCCATGATATCAGCTCCTCTCTTTTCCCTCCCTCCCCTAACTCACCCACATGTGTGACCCCTTGAGATCTTCTCCACTCTGTTTCTTTTGTATTAATTCTGGGAGTCTCATCACTTCTTGCTAAGGGTACTCCAACAGTCACACTAAGTTCTTCCATGTTGCCCCTTTATGTGGTTCTTCAAATGCAAACTTACGTAAGTTCTTACCTGGAGAATTCTTGGACTGTGTGCTCAGTAGAGTCCACCACAAAGAGAGGAAGAAAGGAACCTCTTACCTAATGCAGAAGAAGTAATGATCTTCCACTGACTATAAAGCAATTTCTCTTTGATCACCAATGAGAACAATAAGAAATACATATGCTTTTTTTCTGTTATAATATTTTATATTTGTCTTCAGACTGTGTTCTGATAGTGCTACAAAGTTTAGCTTTTATGTTTAGTTACTTAATCCATTTTGAATTGTATTTTGTTTAAACTGTATTTTTTGTTTATACTGTGATTTTAAAATTACATGGATTTTTTTTTTCCTCACTGATATCTAGGTTCTGGGAATCTACATTTGACATCCAAGCTAAGAAAAAACATTTTAATGGTCAGAGTGCCACTTGCATTGTTACAAAATTGTATGGCAAATCATTGCATGTTATTGTATGAGACATAGTTGTCACTATAGGTAGCCCCTGTTGCAAACACAAAGATTAGTCCAATGATTCCTGTTTGTGGAAACAGGAGCACAAGTACATGCCAAATGCACGGCCAATGGACTGTACTGAGAAAAAATAAATCACCTGAGTCTTCTTTAACTGACGTGTGCTTTTGAAATTGCCTTGTTGTCGTGAGGTCCTATCTAGTCGGATCCCCCACAGAGAGGGCCTGTGTGCAGCTGAACGAAACACCTCTATTTCAGCTCATTGTTGGAGCCACCTGGTCAATCTAACTTGTTGAAGGGCTTTCTTTTTTTCACTGACCCTTTAAGGTGACCAGACGTCCCGCTTTTGGTGGGAAAGTCCCGATTTGTAACAATTTTTCCTGCGTCCCGCAGCATTTTGAAAAAGTCCTGATTTTTTGAAAGAATGCACAGCAAGCTAGGGTATACGGTTTTCGGCTGCCATGTGGCTATTTCGCCAGGATATGAGTTTTATCAATGGTGTCCCGCTTTCCTAATGTTAAAATCTGGTCACCTTACCTAAGATGTTTGATATGTGACCACCGTTGTCGTCAGTTATCATTAGATTATCATTACTACTACACTTAAGAACGTCTCGGAAAATAGAGAGGGATGCATTTTAAATTAAAAATATATGCTCATGGGCACATAAACATTCACATTCTCATAAATTCTTTAGAAAGTAAAATAAATTTATGTATAAATTAAAATTGAAATGTAATTGTTTTCTGGTTTTTGTTTTTAATACCAGGACAACATAGATCTTTAGGCCCCAAAGATTCTAAAGTGAGAAGTCTAAAAATGGATGCCAGTATTTGGAGCAATGAACTGATTGAGGTGAGCCTGGTTTAAGAGTGGGATGATTAGAAGAGACTGGGAAGGAACCAGGTGCTGGGGCAGCATGACTTGCTTTAGAGTAGTAGGAGCTCTTTCAATGAGAACTGACACACACAATTATTTTAAAAATTAAAAGTTAGTGGAGCTTAAATTGTAATGACTACTTTATTATTATTGTTTTTAAGTTAGAATTTTCATCCTTTCTCTCTATGGCAGCATCAATAAAATATAAAAGAAGTCAATGCAGACATTTGGCAAACTTTATTATTTTCTTTCTTGGCTACACTGTGGCTTTTATTGTGATCATGTCTAGCTTTTGTCTCGTTTCTGCAAGTGTTACTTGCCTCTCTAGGCAACATCAGCCCACCTTCTCAGTCACTTTAAATGCATGTTTCTCGCTGCGAGCTTCAAAACATATTAACTGTTTTTCCTGAAATTCGCATGATTTGCAAATCCTAATAGAAATAGTATCTGCTTTCATACACCATCTTCCTGAAAGAGTACGCCTTTTCATGAGCTTACCTGTGTTTTATGCTGTTCAGTTTCAATTTGTAAAGAGTGTTGTGAGTTGTTTTCAGCAAATTCCAAGGCATGTTATAAGCTGATACACTGCATGATTACTTTTTTTCATAATTCAGCTTTTTATTGTCATTGGAAACAAAAGAGCAAATGACTTTTGGGCTGGCAATCTGCACAAGGATGAAGAATTACCCATGGACTCGCCAGTCGAAATGAGAAAAAACTTTATCACTCAAAAGTATAAAGAAGGAAGATTCAGAAAAACCCTCTTGGCATCTCTCACCAAAGAAGAATTAAACAAGGTATTTAATACAGTGCACCAACAAACCTGAACTGCAGTGTTTGATTTATATACTTATTTATTTTTAAAAATAGGTACCAAGGTCCTTATTAATAAGGAAAATATTTCATGATTTTACTTTATTGCAATGGCAGTTTTTCTGATCTTTCACTGAAATACCCAGAATAGGGAGATTGTCTCTTCCTCTCTATGTGAAATTTCTAGCTAACATTTTATTCTTAAAACATTAACACTTTTTGCTAAGTACTAGATAATTTACTGACTTAGTGCCATCAGAATTGACATTATTTCCTCGGTTAATACTCTGTTACCAACTGAGGATTTGCTTGGTGGTGCTGATATGAAGCGCCGTTTACCTTGGTTGGAGACATTCCTGAACTGTGCCTCTTTCCTGCTACCTATTTAGTCTTCACTTTCTCTAAAAGTAGATAACATTCCCCCCAGCGCACGCGCACGCGCGCGCTTGTGCACACACACACACACACACACACACACACTTTGTGTATTGACCTTCAGTCTCGTCTGTAGGGGACTCTTCTAAGCATAGATACATATAAAGCATATACTGCACAGTGTTGCATTGTTTATGCTTAAATGTATATTGACATGTTTCTCAGTACCCTACTGTTTTTCAAATATCAGTTCTTGTTAAATAAAGATCGCTGGGTAGTAACATTATGCAGATCATTTCTGAAAAGAAATGAAGATAATTTTTCATGCATCTCTAGAAATTACAAAATATATAAAATTGTTTTCATTTCTGTTCAGTTCTTTTTTTTTTAATCTTCCTAATACTTCTTTAGTATCAGTAAAAGGAGGTCACTACCTAATTTTAAAGTATATATAGCGCACAATTAATGCAGGATTCAGGATGGTTTCCTAAGGTGCCTAACCACAGGGGGATTCATCAATGGCTGTGAAGAATTACATGATTAAATGTAGGTTGCTGTTAAGGTACTGAATTTTGTTTTGGGTGGGGTTTTCTTGTGTGCTAGTTATATTATTAGCATAACTGTCCAATTATAACCCACATATATAGATCATGATTAACTTAATTACCTATTCCAGGTGCCAATAAATAGTAAGCATCTGGAGTAGTAAAATTGTGGAGTAAGTAAGTTGGGGTTATGGAGAAGTGCTGATTGGTGTGGTTGGAGAAGCAGGTATATGAGTATGTTTCTCCAGTTGCTTCTCTCCCTTTGATGGTGATGGAAATCCTTTCAGTAGTGAAATGTTAACGTGTTAACGTCGACAAGTGAGGTCTTGTGTGCTGTACCCCACTGTGTAGCTGAGGTAAGCTGTTAGGCACGTTTTAAGTTAAGTGGTAGCAATTTCCTTCCTCCTCAGAGTATTTTATGGAAGGCTGTTCATTGGGTACTAGCCCCCACACCGGGCTTCTGAGTAGCAATGCTCTTATTGTCACTGAATAACTTTTAACAAAAATATGTTTATTTTTTTAATATTTATTTTACACTTCTTAATGAGTCCTGTTGTAGGTGTTGCTGCTGCAAAAATATTGGGAAAATAGGGGATGTATTTATGGGAAAGGCAGGCAAGCAGGGGCACTACTGGTTACCACCAACCCATTGCTGACAAGTGCATCGGACTCATCGTGACCCAAGCCAACAGAGTCGAAGTGTATTATTTGGTATTCAGGGCTATAATCTTTAAGTTGACGCTCACATCCTCCTCCCATGGAGCGGCTGATGGATTCGAGCCAACCACATTTTAATTAGCCGTTGAGTGTCTAACTACTGCCCCATTAGGACTCCTTAACAACTAGGCAAACCGAGAAATATAAAACGTCAAGTGCAGTGTGTTTTTAAGGGAAAGAGGAGAGTGTCGAGGGAGTGAATAAAAGAAAATGCACGTCCTTAAATTGGAGATCACAGAGTGTTAGTGTGGTAAAATGTTTCCTGTCGTTTGATCGAACATATTCCTTTCTAAAAGAGGAAAAATAAGACCCGGTGAGGAGAAAGCCCTGCCTAAGATCAGCTGGTGTGTGGGTGGAGTCAAATGTAGGACTGTGGCTTTTTGGTTCTGATTGACAGGGAATTCTAGAGATCAGCTGCACCACAGTGCAGAGTAGTTGGTTTTACCAAGAATTGTGAGTGAATATGCCCTGAACTTGGAGACTATTCACTCTGAGGTGTCCGTGGGGACAGATACTGAGCGGCTGTCCTGAGGCTGTATTTCAGAGAGCAGAATCCCTGGTGATCTGTCCAGGTGCGTCATGGCAGGATGAAGAGAAGTGTTGAACCCAAACGTCAGGTGGTACCTAAGTGCCAAAATCATGAGGATTTGGAAGCAAATGAGAAGGCACTAAAATAAGGCCTGGAGCACACATAAAGGGAGAACAAAGAGAATGAGAAGAAATATAAGGGCAACTTACGAACAATCGGATTTCAGCCATTTGGGGGGTTTGTACAAGGATGGCATATGCCAGAAGTACTGTCTCTCTTTTTTCCCCCTCTTTTTTTGGTACATAATTTATATATCATACAATTCAATAGGGCAATCATTCAGCCATATCAAGGAGAATTATACAATCATCACACATCTATTTTAGAGCACCCCCCCCCTCATGGTTATAGCACCTTTAAAATGAGTTCTGCAATCACAGTCCATTTTGATGCTCCCTCCCACCTTTATTATTTGCCTCCCTATCACCCCCACCTCCACCCCTGTATCCCTGTAACCCCCTTATATCAGTTATTATCCTTATGCATCCACTCCCCCTGTGCTTCACAGCTTGAGACCCAACAGAAAACAACGAAAAACACAATTGGACTAAGGTGGTAAGGATAAAATCATAATAGTATAAAGACAAAGTTACAAATAAGGCATAAGAAGGAAAAGACCCCCATCAACGTTCAAAAAGCCAGGGAAGAAATTTCTGTTATGGAACAAGTAAGACATACTTGCACCCAGAACTAATTCAGGTGCGTCCATAGGGTGGATCAACTCAGCAAGTATGGAGTTCAATCCAGCATAATAAAGATTACAATGGTCTCTGCCTGTTTTGCCTGTGGCTAAAACAGATCTGCCACTGGTTCATTCTGACTAGATACTCCGTAGATGGGTTTTGGGCTCCCACCATCTTCCTTAGCCTTCTACAATTTGGGTGCTCATAATTTTAGCTCTGATGCATTTCTCTTCACCATATTCAAATTTTGTAAGTGGCATCTTTGGATCACACCAGATGGTGTGCTTCTTCCACGTGGACTTAATTGGCTCCTCGCTTAGATG